TGGGGGTGTGCATTCTTGCATCATACAATGTGAGAAAGAGGACTATTTTTTCATTTAAATTCAGTTTTGTTTGCTTGTTTATAAAATAGCTACCACAGATGAATAGTATGCAACAAACATGAACAATAAATAAAAATTTTAAATTCAACCTTTTCTTTTTTTTCTTTATCCAACGCCTTCATTTTTATCACATAATAAAGACTTTGTTAAGTAGGCAGACTGACTGACTGTGCAGACATCACCCACAACTGCAGCACAGACAATATCACGTAAAACACTTTAAAATATAATAAATGAGATTAATAAAAACTCCCCCTTCCCCAAAAAACAAAGCATATAAGCAGGAAACAATTTAAAAACTAAAATAAAATACTAAATGTACTATTAAGTTACAAATGAAGCATTAAGATGTTTTACAACCAGGGAGGAGAATTGCCTCAAAATAAACAAACATACTGCTTGAGGAAAAAAATAAAAAAGGGACTAATATATTCTCACAAATGAAATAAATAGATAAATTAATTAATGAAAAATAAAGGTGTAATTTATATCCATAATTTAAATCTAATTCCAGTGTTTGTTTTTGCCTAATATATAATTATAATAATCATTTTAGCATTCACTAAAACAATTACTATAACAAGAATTTGCAAAAAATTATCAGAAAAAAAGATAAAAAAAAGAAGGGAAAACATGTTAAAATGACTGACTAATAGTAAAACTAAAACGTAATATTTAAATTTGAAAGAATGTACCAATTTAAGGACAAGTTCACATGAGTAACATATCAAGAAAAATGTTGGTATACTTTTAGGTGTGACATAGTTGGTAATGGTATCTTCTTTAGTTTTATACCCAAAAGCAGGAGTAAATCTTACAACAATATGCAAGTATTCTATAATGGGTTAAGAAGAGATATACCAATAACAAAGTTGATCTGAATGTATGTCTGCACCTTGATGATCTGTTATATCAGATAGAACCAACAATTTAGTTTAACAATTAGTAATCTTGAATTGATATGTTTTAATCCTTTGTGAACAGGTACAACACTTGCAGGAATTAATAGACTTCCCTGAATAAAGTAATCTTCAAATCACTGACCAAAGGTTCTTCGTTTATTGAAGGCAACTCAACACTGTTTTTTTTAAATATTTTTAGTCATTTTTTTTTTTTTTTTCAGTTTTTCGTTTTTCTTTTTTTTTTTTTGCTTTTTTTCTTAGATATGCGACCCCTGAAGTTAAATTATAAGATATGTTCTCAGACATGGTTGGACGGAAGAGAGGAGGAGACATTTTTGCCAACATGTAAACAGAAGAAAGGTTTAAAAAATGAAATGGCTGGAGGTATTTAAAAAAAACAAAAACAGATTAATAATTATAAATAAAAGAAAAATTGTTTTGAAAACGAAAGTAATAACTATGATATCAATATTGTTAATAATAATGGTAATAAGAGTATTAACAGAATAATAATAATAATAATAATAGTATTATTAATGATGATGATGATGATGATGATGATGATGATGACGATGACAATGGTATTAATAATAATAATAATAATAATGATGATGGTGGTAATAATAATAATAATAATAATAATAATAATGATAATAATAATAATAATAATAATAATTTACCATTGAGACAAATTCTAATATGAAATGATTTGCACAACCAGTTGAAAAATTATTGACACTTGTACAATAAGAGATAAATATCTGGAAACTAAATTTCTACATCTAGTCGCTGATTAGCGAACCCCTGCCTTGTTTTTTTTCTGTTTCTCTTTATTTTTTATTAAATTTTTAATTTAATTTCCTTGTATTTTTACAATTTAAAAAAAATTGTTCCTCTTTTTTACGTTTGTTTAATAACTGTAAATAGCTGTTAAAAAAAAATCAAGTGGGGTGGGTGGGAGTATTGGGCTGAATTGTTTAAAATTAAGTTTTTTTAAAATTTCTTTTTACATCAGTCAGTCCATCCATTTATGCACCCATCTGACAGCACTCTGTGGTAATAAAAGCTATGTTATGACCAGTGGCAATGTATGACCAATTTCAAATGTCACACTAGCTAGTCACATTGTTGATGTGACTTAAATGAAATTGGTGATACCTTGCCTCTGGACAGCATCAAATTATCATTATTATCATTATTACTGCTATTATCGATAATCACTGTAATTATTAATGATTACTACCACTATTGCAACTATTACTACTACTACTAATACTACTACTATTATTATTATTATTATTGTTGTTGCTGTTGTTGTTGTTGTTGTTATTATTATCATTATTATTATTTTTGCTGTTATTGTTACAGTTATAGATTATTATTATGATGATGATCATTATTATCAGTATTAATGCTATTTAATTAGTTGGTCATCACATGACTAGTTTAAAAATTCTGCTGACAGGTTGGCTGGGGCGAAGATGGCACTCCACTGATACAATATGATTACAAGAATTTTGGCTAATAAATCCAATTCCTCAGTAGGCAGCAGCCTGAACCGGAGATTGTCCAGCTGTTGGCACTTCCTCCTTACGATTCTAAAGAAAAAATAAATAAAAGAAAAAAGAGAGGAAAGAATTAGTGTTTTGCAAGATAAAGTTATAGGCAATATATAAGGAAAAAAGACAAATCATGAGTATATAAATAAATATACACGTGAACAAGTTTTATTAAATTCAACCTACAAGTTCTGTCTTTAATTATTTGTTGCATTTTTCCATTTGTGAATAAATTGTTGCATATCCAGATCAAAATTGTGGATGAACTGTCTAAAATTCATGTTTCTTTTCTTTTGAGAACTTTCAGCCAGTTTGGTCATTATCAAGAACTAAATATTGTCAGTATCATAGACAAAAGTTTCATCAGCATCATCCTGGTATATTTTTGGATGGTACAGACAATATTTAGCTATTGAGAATGAGCAAAATAGTTAAAAGCACTCAAAAAAAAAAAACATGTATGAACAGTTTATTCACAACTTTAGACAGTTGTGTAATAATTTGTTTGAAAGTTACAAAAAAAAATGAAATATAGAATCTTTGTTGATTGAATTTAATAAAACTTATTTCACTGAATTTTTGCTTTATATATATATATATATATATATATATATATATATATATATATATATATATATATATATATATATATATATATATATACACACACACACACACAGTGGAGTAATGGATAGCGGCTTGGATTGAGGAATCAGAGAGCTGAGTTCAAATTCAGTTGAATCTATTATATTCACTTACATGCTAACACCCTTTGGAAAAGTATGAATCCTCTTCTTCTCCCATCAACTATAGGTAAATAGCAGGGCATATTGGCTTTCATAGCCTTGGATGATAACTGGTCTAGGAGAAGGACAACTCTGAATTCAAAACCTGAGGAGTCCTTGTGGCACATAGTGCACAAGGTGTCTGTATTCGGCTCTTCAAAAAGTGTGGTTGGTTCTGCACAAAACCTTCACCACTATAATCAAATCATATGTGCCTAGGAACTGAGTTGCTTGACCCTCATATGTTGATAAATGATGGGAGAGTCCAGCATATATATATATATATATATATATATATATATATATATGATTAAATAAGGAACACTTTATCCACTGAACTTGAAAAACATCATCAACTCTAAAAATATAACCACTAGCTCCAAGGCAATCAAAGATTTGCTCAGCAAATATATCAAATTAACAATGCATCAGAAACTGGGATATAATATAGACTGCATGCAATGTTAAGAAATATATATGTGACATCTAAAAATCTAAAGACCTACATTTATATGTAGAGAAGAGACCTCTGCTGGGATAACTCATTAAATTCCTTAGTGCCCTCATTCATAAAATAAATAAATATATACCCAAACATGTAAAAATTATAAGGATTTTCCTACTTGTTCCTTATTTAATCATTCTGTTAGATTTAATTCACGTTTTCTAATCGTATATATGTATGTCTGCATATATATATATATATATATATATATATATATATATATATATAAAATTGGGATAAATACAGATCAAATATAGATTGGAATTTGACAAAATGATAGGATTAAGAACAAATAGGAAACATTTATAAATCTAACATGTTTTGCTTTTATTAAAGCTTCATCAGAGGATGAGATATGGAAAAAAATTCTGGTATTTCTATTTTTGTGTTGCTTGATTTTAATGGTTAAGCAGACTTTATGTGCATTTGATTAGTCAAGCAGTATTCTTTCATATAATTTATGTGCATAATTGTATAATAATTTTAGTTTGCCTATATGGAATTGGGATGATTATATATATATATATATATCTATGTATGTATGTGTGTGCATGTCTAGTAGGCATGTCTGGAGGTTGTCAAATCAATGTAGACTACGACCAAACATAATGCCTACCCCCCCCCACACAGAGCTATGAACTAGAGATATGCTTACATACAAAAATTATACACATGAATACTGCTTGACTAGTCAAATGCATGGGAAGTCTGCTTAATCAATGAAAATCAAACAATATAAAAATAAAAATATCAAAAAATAAATTCATTCCATATCTCATTTCCTGATGAAGCATTAATAAAAGTGAAACATGTTAGATTTATAAATTTCCTATTTGTTCTTTATCATATCATATCATATTATATATATATATATGTGTGTGTGTGTGTGTGTGTGTGTGCGCGTATATATATATATATATATATATATATATATATATATATATCAGGTATATTTAGGCAGCAAGTATTTATTCAAATAAATTTTGGTAAATTCAATTGTAATTATTTTTGAAAAATGTTCAAATTTGTTTGTTGGTTGAATTTAAAAAAAAACTAGTTTGTGTATTTATATATATATATATATATATATATATATATATATATATATATGACCAATATAATACCACAAATGATTTTGAATTGCTAAAATAAAAGTTCCAGACCAAAACAGTGATTATCTTGTTATTAAAAAGCAGATGTCAACTTTATTGGTTATATAAATTAATTTTAGCCACACACCATCAGGAGCAGATGGTATAAAAAATAAATATTTTTAGGTCTGCATTTGGAGATTACTTCATATCTTCTATCTGCTCTGCATAGGGAACACAATAATATTTAATTTCTCCTCCAAGCAAAAATCTAGAAATTCAGGCAAGAGAAGCAAGTAACTTTTATCTTAATTGTTTTTATTGCTTGATGATTACTGTTCTGGCATGAAACCTTTAGTCACAATTTTAATTCATTTATGTGTTATTGATTTTACCTATTGTACCATCCATAATTTAAATCTCATTCCAGTGCTTAATATTGTATAATATATAAGCATAATATTCATTAGGATTTACTGAAACAATCAGAATAACAAGAATTAGCAAAAAGTAATCAGAATGAAATGAAAAAATAAATAAAGAAATATTGAGCACTACAGGTCAATTGACTGTGTTTCATGTATGGTGGTCCAAAGGAAATACTCCTCAATGAAATAATTTGCTTAAAATATTTACGAAATTAAAGAATCAAAATAATTTCCATAAATTTTTGAATAGAGTATTAATTTTAGCTTACCTCTTATTTTTTAGCCTTATTCTGATATGCAGTGAAGTTATTTTAGTTAATTTAAACTATACAGTGACAATATGCAAAGAATTTACACTTTTAAAATAGTCTTTTTTTTAAACAGAATGACTAAAATATTATAAATTATAATGAATTATTTTAAGTTATGTATTAAAGAGTATTTATTAAGTATAGTCACAACAAAAAACATCTGAAAAGTAGCCATCCATAATATTTGGATCTTTCAATTTGGAACAAAAAATAAAAAAAAACATCGTATATTTGGATTAATTACCAAAAATGCCATCTTTACGACATTATGTTAAGACCATTTTAGGACAGTTATCATCTATCCTATTTTTTAATGAAAATTCCAAATTTTTTAGTTTATTTTTACAATAACTTGATTTAAAAATTGCAATCATTATGAAAAGCATCAAAATGAAAACAAATCTTTCCTCTAAAATAACACATAGCTAATGAAGATTTTGAGAGTATGTAAAAGTTAAATAGAATTCATACAAAATTCATAATACTTAAATTAATAAAAATTAGAACCATGTTAGAAATTTAATATAATGATAAATTTATATATATATATATATATATATATATATATATATATATGAAGAAATATACTTTTAAGGTGTGCTATATTAATGGGATGAAGTGCTCAATATCAGAGATAGAGCATGTGTAAATATAAAAGTGAACATTGAAGTCAACACGTAGAGGTGACAGTCTGTTTCATGCTAGACGCAATCGTCAGGCCATGAGTGTTGTTTTTTTTCTTGGTTATTTATGTATATGGGTCAGTGGTACATTGTGAGTAGTCTATTTTGGCAGTTATTTTGCCAGAAGTTGTTTATTTGTTTATTTATTTATTTGGGTTAAATTATTTTTATTTTTTTATTTTTATTTTTTATTTTTATTTCTTATCATATAAATCTATTTATTTATTTTAATTTTAATCAGTGTTTTATTAACATAGTAAAAATTTGTTTATATCACTTATTTAATAGTTTTAGTTTGGGAAGATAATTAAAGCTGTTTATTCAATTTTGGGGTAGATTGTTATAGTTTATTCTAACTATTATTTTGGTGGGAGCAGTTTTTAATTTGTTTATTACTTCATTTATTTATTTGGATTAATTATCTTTACATATTTTTTCAAACAGTTAATTTATCAGGATCGGTTTGTTAGTTTGTTTATTTATTTGGATTAATTTAGATTAATTTATTTTACTTGTTTTTTATTATTTATTTATTATACTGTATATTTTTATTTACTCTTTTTGGTTTTTGATTTTTAAGTAACATAGTATTTTTTTTTCCATTATATAACAGTTATAGCTATGTTTTTTTGTCCGATTTTTGGTTTGATTTTTATAGTCTAACTAATATTTTGGTCATAATCGTTTGTTAATTTGCTTATTATTTACTTTATTTATTTGGGTTCATTTTGTTTTTTATTTTTTTATTTATTTATTCTATTTTGTCTATTCTAGCGCGTGTGATTTGGTAATTTGTTTGGGTTAATTTATTTTACTTATTTTATTGTCATTTTGTTTATTTATTTATTTATTTTATTTCATTTTGTTTTTTTTTCCAGTTTTCAATTTTTAAGTAACATAGTAAAAATTTGTTTTCATGTCTGCATTTTGAGATGAGCTCAGATTGTTTATTTAATAATTTATTTGGGAAGGAAATGATAGCTATTTTTTCCTCCAAGCAAAAATTTGCAAGTTTTGGATTGGTTGTTGTAGGCTGATGATCTTTTTCTTATTTTCCAAGATATTTTTGGTGTGATGTGAATTTTGTTTTTAATTTCCCAGATATACTTACAAAGCATTGTGCTGTTCGCATATTTACTATTTGTGAAAGATGTTTTGTGTGCATAATTTCTTTGTTTCCAGGGTCCTTCAGTTATTCCTATGTATACTTTTTCTTCATTATTTGGTGGTTTTATC